GAAAAAAAAAAAAAAAAAAATGTTGCCACCGTCGGAAATCCCGCTCCAGGGAGAGGTAACCGCAGCTGTTGCTATTATGTTTTCGTAGTTGCTGATGCAAACAGGGGAACCTCTCTATTCCCTCCACATTACCTGCGGCTGGGGACAGGGAACTTTCCGCGGCAGAGTACCCAGCAAGCGCCTCGGGACCTGCGGGCTGTTCTCCTTCTCACACTCACACTCACCCTGGCAGCCCGGCCTTGGGTTTTCTGCCCCGCCCGGCCTGGTTGCTCCATGACGCGCCTGTTTGACGGACATTTTAGCGAATGATCAGTTGCTCAGTGGGTGGTGCTCCTCCGTGATTGGTTGGCAGAATGAGGGCGCTGCGCAAAAACAGAGAAGCGGAGCGCTCGGAGCTCAGAAACTGCCAGCAGAGATCAGAGGCTTTGGGGCTGAAGCTGGAGGAAGGACTGGAAGGAAAAGAGGCAGGTTAGAGGGAAAGAGGTTTGGGAAGGAAACTGCTTGTTGTGTTTGAAAAGAGGCTAGTGACCAAGTGACCGTGGAGGTGAGGACGCAGGAGACAAGACTATGAAAGCAAAAAATGCAAATAGAAAGGGTGGGGGGATGTCAAGAAACGTCCACCGGGAGAAATGAAGAGAATGAAAGTTTTATGCTGCAGAGCTGTTCTATGTTTTTCCTGCACAAAATTCTCTCGCTGTTTTTAAGCCCTCTTGTTTTTGCCAGCCGTTGAGGTTAAGCGGCATGTTCAGCGGTGCGGGCAGCATCTCTTCTTCCTTCTCTTCCTCCTCATCTTCCTCCTCCTGCTCCTTTTTCTGCTCCTCATTCTCCTCCCATCGGCAAGAAGACAAACCGAGGACAGTCTTGAAATATCGAAATTTCCTCCTTGGGATTTGCCAGCGCCGCGTTGCGCCAAGACTGTCGGAATAAAGGACGCTGACTATCTTATTATCATTATTTTATTAATTGGTCAGTGGGAAGATAACAGATGAGGACAGGGGACATCTGTCAACCTCTCTGCACTAAGACTGAAACATGAGGCTGGATTTGAGAAAGCTCTAAAATGAAGCAAAAGGAACAAAAATTTTAAGGCAGCCACAGAAGCCCTCACGTAGCACACTTTTATTTATATTTTTGAGATTTTTATTTCTGTGGTGGGGGAGGCGATCGGGTGGCTGGCTGGCTACGGGGAAGCTGCTGCCTTTCTTTTGGAAATGATTGTGCCATTCTTCTTTGCCTTGCTCTGGATGGTGGAAGGGGTGTTTTCCCAGCTTCATTATACGGTGCAGGAAGAGCAGGAACATGGCACATTCGTGGGAAATATCGCTGAAGATCTGGGCTTGGACATTACAAAACTTTCAGCTCGCAGGTTTCAGACAGTGGCCAACTCACGGACCCCTTACTTAGACCTCAACCTGGAGACCGGGGTGTTGTACGTAAACGAGAAGATAGACCGCGAACAAATCTGCAAGCAGAGTCCCTCTTGTGTCCTGCACCTGGAGGTCTTCCTTGAGAACCCCCTGGAGCTGTTCCGGGTAGAAATCGAAGTGCTGGACATCAATGACAACCCTCCCTCTTTCCCGGAGCCAGACCTGACTGTGGAGATCTCTGAGAGCGCCACTCCAGGCACCCGCTTTCCCTTGGAGAGCGCCTTCGACCCAGACGTGGGGACCAACTCCTTGCGAGACTACGAGATCACCCCGAACAGCTACTTCTCTCTGGACGTGCAGACCCAGGGGGATGGCAACCGATTCGCGGAGCTGGTGCTAGAAAAGCCACTGGACCGAGAGCAGCAAGCGGTGCACCGCTACGTGCTGACCGCGGTGGATGGGGGAGGAGGGGGAGGAGTAGGGGAAGGAGGGGGAGGCGGCGGGGGAGCCGGCCTGCCCCCCCAGCAGCAGCGCACCGGCACTGCTCTGCTCACCATCCGAGTGCTAGATTCCAACGACAATGTGCCCGCGTTCGATCAACCCGTCTACACTGTGTCCCTACCAGAGAACTCGCCCCCCGGCACGCTAGTGATCCAGCTCAACGCCACCGATCCGGATGAGGGCCAGAACGGGGAGGTCGTGTACTCCTTCAGCAGTCACATCTCACCGAGAGCCCGGGAGCTCTTCGGATTGTCGCCGCGCACCGGCCGGCTGGAGGTGAGCGGCGAACTGGACTATGAAGAGAGCCCAGTGTATCAGGTGTACGTGCAAGCCAAGGACCTGGGCCCTAATGCTGTACCTGCGCACTGCAAGGTGCTGGTGCGAGTGCTGGACGCGAACGACAACGCGCCGGAGATCAGCTTCAGCACAGTGAAGGAGGCGGTGAGCGAGGGAGCGGCGCCTGGCACCGTGGTGGCTCTGTTCAGCGTGACCGATCGCGACTCGGAGGAGAACGGGCAGGTGCAGTGCGAACTACTGGGAGACGTGCCATTCCGCCTCAAGTCTTCCTTCAAGAATTACTACACCATCGTGACAGAAGCCCCTTTGGACCGAGAGGCTGGGGACTCCTACACCCTGACAGTGGTGGCCCGAGACCGGGGCGAGCCTGCGCTCTCCACCAGTAAGTCTATCCAGGTCCAAGTGTCTGATGTGAACGACAACGCGCCTCGCTTCAGTCAACCTGTCTACGACGTGTATGTGACAGAAAACAACGTGCCAGGCGCCTACATCTACGCGGTGAGCGCCACTGACCGCGATGAAGGGGCCAATGCCCAGCTAGCCTACTCCATCCTCGAGTGCCAGATCCAAGGCATGAGCGTCTTCACCTACGTGTCCATCAACTCCGAGAACGGCTACTTGTACGCTCTGCGGTCCTTCGACTACGAGCAGCTTAAGGACTTCAGCTTTCAAGTGGAAGCCCGGGACGCCGGCAGCCCCCAGGCGCTGGCGGGCAACGCCACGGTCAACATCCTGATAGTGGACCAGAATGACAACGCCCCCGCCATCGTGGCGCCCCTGCCGGGTCGCAATGGGACTCCAGCACGCGAGGTGCTGCCCCGCTCCGCAGAGCCCGGCTACCTGCTCACTCGCGTGGCCGCGGTGGACGCGGACGACGGCGAGAACGCCAGGCTCACCTACAGCATCGTGCGGGGCAACGAAATGAACCTCTTCCGCATGGACTGGCGCACTGGGGAGCTCCGCACCGCGCGCAGGGTCCCAGCCAAGCGCGACCCCCAGCGGCCTTATGAGCTGGTGATCGAAGTGCGCGACCACGGGCAGCCACCCCTGTCCTCCACCGCCACTCTAGTGGTTCAGCTGGTGGACGGCGCCGTGGAGCCCCAGGGCGGGGGCGGGGGCGGAGGCGGAGGGTCAGGGGAGCACCAGCGCCCCAGCCGTTCGGGCGGCGGGGAAACCTCGCTGGACCTCACCCTCATCCTCATCATCGCCTTGGGCTCGGTGTCCTTCATCTTCCTGCTGGCGATGATCGTGTTGGCTGTGCGCTGTCAAAAGGAGAAAAAGCTCAACATCTACACGTGTCTAGCGAGCGATTGCTGCCTCTGCTGCTGCTGCTGCGGCAGCGGGAGCTCCACTTGCTGTGGCCGCCAAGCCCGGGCGCGCAAGAAGAAACTCAGCAAGTCAGACATTATGTTAGTGCAGAGCTCCAATGTACCTAGTAACCCCGCCCAGGTGCCGGTGGAAGAGTCCGGGGGCTTTGGCTCCCATCACCACAACCAGAACTACTGCTACCAAGTCTGCCTCACCCCAGAGTCCGCCAAGACCGACCTGATGTTCCTGAAGCCCTGCAGCCCTTCCAGGAGTACGGACGCTGAGCACAATCCTTGTGGGGCCATAGTTACCGGGTACAGCGACCAGCAGCCCGACATCATTTCCAACGGAAGCATTTTGTCCAACGAGGTAAGGCTGAAGCGAAAGGACCACCATCTCTCATCTCCTCCATCAGAAAGCCTCCTCTAGGCCCGGCCCTGTATCTCTAGTGCACTGTGTATTTTTAGGATGTTAGCCTATTTGTACACTGGGGAGGTGAGAATGTGGGGGGTCACCTTCTCTCACCCTTTGGCGTGTAACCTAACTTCCGTGTTGTTCCTGACTCTGTGCTCCACCCCTCCACATTTATTTCCATTCCCTCCCCTTTGGCTCATTGCCACCTTGGCGCTCTCTCCTCCCTCTCCCATCTTTAAGGTTCTGCCCTTCTTTGAAACTTGTCGATATGTGGGAAAATGGTTGGAGGGAGAGGGAAGTGTGGGGGAGGGTTTCCTATCACTGACAAAGGTCTTTTTCTCTTGCATCTGTCTCAGAGTCTAATAAAATTGGTTTTATTTTGCTTTGTTTATCACTGTTTTCAGTCGCGTGTACACGTGAGCTATAGATTGTTTAACTTTACACAGTTACTTAAACTGCATTGCATGTTTTAGTGAACAACTGATCAGTTCCCTTTTCTCTGAACTCGGGTTGAAAAAAAAAAAAACCCCTTCAGTTCTGCTCTGGACAGCCTTTATAGAAGCTCTTGAATCAAAGGCCCACACAGTGTGAATTTGAATGAAGCTGCTTTGGCACAAACCCCTGTAAGAGTAAACTAATGGAAAGCTTGAACAACTGTTGTCCTAAATATATCTTAAGTATATCTTTGACTAATAATTACCTTCTTGCCACTTTTTTGTTTCTGAGAAAATGTTACTGTTGGCTTTATTCATCAAATAATTTGGCTTATCAGTTCCAATTTCCTTTTAAAAGATGGAGGTATAGGCAGGGTTGGAGGGTCTGGAGCCTGGAGAACCAAAGTGGTTCCTGTAAAACAGTCTGGACTGAGGTGTGGCTGGTCTGGAGCCTGCAAAGGCCCTCTGAAGGGGAAATGGGGGCAGAACTGTGACCCCTTTCTTGGCAGTTCCTTATTTTATTTGAATCTTAGATTAACACATTGACTTTCATGAATATTTGTACAGCTCATTTGTATCGTAAGCACCTTTTGAAAATAAACAACAAAATAATTTGAGAAAATAATCCAAACTTTGCTTATTGAGCGTGCTGTTTTTCTTGTGTCCATCAGTATGCACTAAACACTCTTTAGGCCATGGAAAGAGGGACAACAAATATAACTATCTTGATTCTATGGGAGACAGTAGATTACAAGGCCCAGTTATGAGGATATTTTCATTATCTCTTTAAAATAAAACATATTTACTGTCGATCAATTTATTTTAAACTTTATAGCTGACTTAAAGAAAAATAGATTTAAATGGGTCTACATATGTCCCCTGGCCCCTACCCACAAAAATACCTAGGTACGGTCTTGTGAAAACCTGGAAATTCATTACAATACACACAAGTACTTAAATCAGAAAGCTTTTATCCTCAAAAGCAGAATGAAGATTACACCCTCTACATTTTTAAATGCTCTTGATTTATTTATTTTTTTTCCTAGAATAAACACCAGCGAGCAGAGCTCAGCTATCTAGTTGACAGACCTCGCCGAGTTAACAGGTATGGGCTCTCTTCAATGCCTAGCTTGGTGTGAACATTTCCTACTTAGTAAAAGTAAGAAGAAGGTATTTTGTTTTATATTAAAAGACAATGCTTAAAGCATTTTAAAATAGGGCAGGTCATAAATGCTGATTATTTATGTATCATTTGCTATACAATACATTTAGAAATACATTTTTCATTTATATGTAAAGTATACAATATCTTGTTAGTTTTCAAGTCTTCAAGGCCTCTATAGTTTTCATAACTGTCCCAGATTTGTATTTGCATTTGTTTATGAACATGACACAGACGTGCATTTAGTTGCAGTCATAGAATAATATCTAAGCTTTACATGTCTGATGCTCAAAGTGCCTGCTTATGCTCCATTTTTTTGAAAGTTAAGTTATGAAAACGAGCTTCATGTGGCAATAGAACCAAGCAAGAGTTCTGAGAGCCTGCAACACACATCTGCTACCATGTGGTGGCAGAAGAATGTTTTCTGAATTTCTTTACCTTTTTCTTATTCTAACATTCCTGTTTTTGTACTTTTAGCTCTGCATTCCAGGAGGCTGACATAGTAAGCTCTAAGGACAGTGGTCATGGAGACAGTGAACAGGGAGACAGTGATCATGACGTCACCAACCGTGGCCAGTCAGCTGGTAAGTGTGACAGAGAACAATCTAAATGCCTATTGTATAGTCACTTGTTTAAATACATCTCACAAGAATGTATGGTGACTTACATAAGTTCTGTCTGCTAAAGGCTGGCAACTCTACAGAAAGCTAGTATCAACTTATATTGCTCATTGTAAAAAATGCTACAAACCTTTGGAGCATTGAGGTTAGAAATGAGTTGTGATTAGGAAATACATTTTTCTTGTGTGATGTTCGGTAATGGATTTCAATTGCATAGAGAATCAATAGATCTTTCACCTGGTCTAGTCCCTGTTTTCAGTTAGTCAGGTATTATTAGACTCATTTGTGGATGAGGAAAATGAGATGAATGAAATTGACTTACCAGAACAAGGACACAGGAGGATAAATGTGTGATTGGGTACCAGAATCCACTTCATGCTTTCCAAAGCAATATATTTTGCAAGCAAAGTATCAGTTGAAAAGGAATGGTGATTGAAAGTCATATATATTTTGAATGACTGTTTTCCAATCCTGGGTCTTAAGGCATCACTAATAGGCATGTTGTAGTGAGTATTCTTGAAGCATCCTAGATCTACTCCTATTTTGATAGGCATCAGAATTTGAACTCAAGTGTATGTCTGTGTGCACTAACTGTGAGCTAACTAGTGCTGACCAGATGAAGTTACAATGTAACTTTATAAACTGAATTTTATTATAAAATTCTCCATATGAATTTGACATTTAAGGCTATGTAAGACATTCTAACATTAATTGCTAATACTAAAAGAACTCATAAGAAATAAATGATGTACCTTAAAATGAAAATAATTTCATAAAATTATTTCCTTTTCTCTACTTCTTTTGGATTTCATCTATAAAAGATGTTTGGTGAATTCTTAACCCTTTTTTTTTTTCCTGTGTTTATTTGGCACAGGAGGAAATGGAAAGACTAGTCAACTCTAGAAACTTCTGAAAAATGTCCATGTGTGGGCTACATTTGGGTGCTACTTAGCCCTCTTGAGACTTGACCTTAATTTTCATTAATAAGATTTCATAAAGTACTGCAATTTCTTATTTTCAAGGTAATATTAGTCCTCGAGAGTACTCATTCCTTAACACACTTGGTAGCCCCAGGAACGGTGCTGAGGCAGTGTGTCAAAGGGCAGCGCACACCCTGTGGGGGCCTGGCAGCAATGATTGCTACAAGCCTCTCAGTTGGCTGATGTGTGCTCTGTCTGTAGCTACTTAGCCTTGGGAAACCCAGGCAGGAGGAAGGGAAAAAAGGCTGCTCAAGGGTCTCTTTATATTGCTGCAAGTCATTAATATGCAGACCTAATGAGACTTGAGAACTGCCAAGAATTCCCGGAGGTCTCTGCCCCTTGCGGGCCTTCACGCTAAGTGAACAGAGCATCCATTTAGTGTCTGGGATCCTGACAACAAACCAGACCTTGCCAGCAGTTTATATGTGAGTACAAAGTCCCTTTCATTTTTGTCCTATATATGGTATATGATTTATTGTTATTTAAAAACTGTACATTCAGAGTTGTTCATTTCTATTTCCCCCGGAGTTTTAAATTTAACCAACAGCCTTTTAAAGCAAGAAGTTTGATACAAGAAAAAGAATATTTGTTACATGTTTCTTTGGATGTATTTTATTCCTTTCCCACCAACTCCCTTTTGTGTTCTTTTCTTTTCTTTTTTATGTAGCACTCGAGTCTCAATGAACATTTCAATTAGCTTAGTTCCTTACACATAATGAGCCTAATAACTTAACCAAAGCAAGAAAAATGAAGAAACCTTTGCAAGAAGCACTAAATTTGTAAGATAGTTGGGAAGATACACAGATTAGTGAGTCTTCTCAAGAGCTATTTCATTTCCCAGGAACAGTGTTGCCATTTTGGTAATGATTCTTTCAAAGTATTTGAGATGTAAAAGCCTTTCAGGATGATTAAAATGCTAAAATGTGTTCTGCAGTACACTGTAGATAGGCAATGCTGTTTTTATTTTTCATATCCAAAAATGCAGAACTTTATATTTAAGTTGCTAAGTGTGTAAGTGTGTTATAGAATTACTATTTTATGCATTTCAGTAGATACAGGGCAAACAGAATATACTGGGCACAATAATAGATGTTTTACAATTGTAAGAAAGCACTTACAGTGAGAAGTAATTGCACCTTTGTATGTTGAATTGATCAAATTTAATATGCTTAATTTGTAGTAAGAAGTATTCTAAGTGTTTTTGAAGTAAAAACACTAAATGCATAAAATTAACATATCTTTTACTTACTGACTTTTTCAATTCATACTCATTTTTTTTATTATAAACCTCAAAGCAGTAGCAAG